ACGAAGTTCATTTGGATGGACATTTGTGTATATGTATAAATTATGTACATAGGTATTATTTTCATAGTCAAATATTTAATTGATGCGTGTTCTTGTAGTAAAAGTGTAAGTTTTTTTTTATTTGTATGTATGTATTTATATGAGTATGTAGTAGGTATAAGTTATGTGTATGTGTGTGAGTGTGCCATTCAGGTCTTTTAAGGCAAAAGTAGAACATATTTATGTATATATTTTTAAGAAAAAATTATAATTTAATATTGTCTGTCGATTGGTCATTGTCAAAGGACTGGCAAGGATACAAGAGTTTTTGTTATTTAATATTTCTTGGTTGTTTACATATATGTAATTTGTTACTTCACATGTTCATGTACATAAATATGTATGTATGTATGTAGAAGCAATCGTCTTTTTATGTTTTCAGAACATACACTTTTATACACAAATATTTTATGTAAGTCTGTATGTAGTCTGTGGGCTTCCGCCAATTCTGGAGACATATGTACATGTGTATGTACATAGGTGTGTATTTATATTGGGTGTTTGTATGTTTATAGTTGTTAAGTCTGAGCTTTATGTGAAAAGATACCACCATACTTTCTTTGTTCAAAAAATGTTTTTTGATAGTTTGGTAAATTTTCTTTGGTTCGGTTTGAATTGCATTGCTGGAATATTACGCGTACTTATGTATATCGAAGAACTTGCTGTAATGTAATTTGCTGTAAATGAAATTTCGTTACTCCTTATCTTTTTATGGTGGCATTTTCGCTCAAATATACAGCATAGTTACTTCAACTTAGCTTTATTTCTCTCCGACATTCATTTTAGTTTTTTTTTTCAGTTTTTGCTCCTTATAATTTATCTAATAATTTTGTTAAATATTTTTCGAAATTTTAAAACCGCAGCACGTTGTTATTAGTTCAAAGAAACGTGTTGTTTCTTCTCTACTACATATTCTATGTTGATCAATTGAGTTTTTTGTTTGCTTTCTTTTTTCTTAGCCTTCTTGGCTCGGATTTCTATGCAAAAGCTGTTTGTTAATTTTAGTTAATGCAATAGTCTTTCTCTAGGTTAACGTCAGGGTAAGCTACAACAAGCAAGTTCAGTTAAAGCCGTTTTCCGCGCATCTACTGTGCATGAATTATGTTTACCCAGAGCTTTGCTCTCAAACAATCACTTTCTCGGGCACTTAATTTTCTTTAAAAATACATTACCACCTCTATATACGTATGTACTTTTTATTTTTCCTTTTATATGTAATCCTATTTGCAAACAGTTCTTCCTCAGCTGCAGTCATTTCCATGTCTATGAAAGACTCTCGTGGGTTTCCATCAATTCTGGAGACAACTGCAATTATTTTTTTGGTTTAACTTTGCTAAGAGGACTGCGAAGCTCTTCAACGTTGCTGCTAGTTCCAGGCATTAGCCTTTAATTTGGTCATAGTTTTCCCTCTAAAATTTTTTGGCCTCCATGTTCTCTGCGAAGCCACGACATTGCTGGCTAGCAGTGCCAAGATTTTTGTGGCATTTAACGATTATGTCATTAGAAGCTTGTTAAAAATATTAAATTTGTTTAGGGCAGCTTATTCTTTTTTTAATCCACATTCAACCCTTCTAACTTAGTCACTTAGTTGTTTATGAAAATGCCACCAGATTATTTTATTAAGAAATTCTAATGAAAATAACCAATTTGAATGAAACCAAATATAACAAACAAGAAAACAAAAAATTATACAAATAACAATACAAAAGAAAAATACATATTTTAAATATTTCATGTATATTTTATTTTGCAAAAATTAAAGGCAAATTAAGAAATACATCACATTAAATTAGTTCGTTTACGCGTATAGTTGAATGCTTCGTTTAAACTATTTTAATTAATTTTTGATTGTTGTTCATACATTACACATTTGGAATATTTAAGCTTTGTAGACATACCGCTTAGGACATTTTATATACATATGGGTATATATATTAGGTATATGTATAAATGCGCTAATTTATAGGTGTATATATTTGTATGATGTAAAATAAGGCTACATAAACTATTAAGCAGAAGAAAATGTACATTTTACAGTGAATTTATAAGATAAAAATTAAATTAAAACTTTTAAAATAACATCAAAAGAACAATAGCTAGTAGAATATAGTAGATACATGTACAATTTACTTATATAACTTCTTTTATTTAAATAAAATCTATTTAATATTAATAGAAATTAAATTAGCATGAATATAAGTTTTAACACTATACATACACATTATTTAAAATTGTTTAAAACATAACGCTAACTAAATTTAAGGCGTTGCATATGCATCGCTTAACTCTTTAACATACAGACATACTGGTATGGATGTTTATGCAACGCCTGGCTAACTTTGTGGCATTACAAGCGAGTGTATTAATGATGAAAATTGCATAGTTACTTAGAACCAAAAAAGGGAATCACTTAAAATATGCTACCTAAAATTTTTTTCAATAATAATAAAAAAATAATTGCAACGCGCTGCATACTGTTTTGAAAGCATTTGCGCAATAAATACTTGAGGGTGCAATTGCAACTGCAACTACATACATATATGTAAATAAAAATACGACGGCAGTTTGCGCACACGCCAGGGTAAAACATCTGCACGCATGCATCCGTGTACAGCTTTTTATTTAATAAATCACATACATACTTATCTGTTTTTACTTAAATATATTGCAACGAAACAAAACATTTACAGCACTTTTAAAAGGCGAATTGTATGTTTGGGTGATTCTTAAAAAAATATATTAAAATCTAATACCAAGTTTAATAAAAGCCTATAGGGCTATCTCGTAAGTGATTGGAAATTTGTAGCTAAAAGCAATACTTAATGCAGCGCAAACACAGCGCAATGACGGTGGGTAATTGCGGCTGTAACGTCTCATCAAGTGATTTTAAATAAAGGTCAGTGGTGTGAGATATAAAAAGATGACTTCAATTTTGAAAGTATTTTAGTTTGGTTGACTAATTAAAATTGTTCAAAACAAATATATGCTTAGGATATATAATAGCTCGTACTATAAAGCTGACAACAATAGAAAGGAGAAGACTCACCCCTGTTTTTGATATTTCAAAGAAAATTTAAGCGCAAAAGTGAAAGTAGTTTTCATTTTTATATCTAACTCAATAGACATACATATATCTATGAGTGTACTGGTCGTTTGCTAAGTTGTTTTTTTTTTACGGAAAACGCGTAACTCTCATGCTGGATATGTGTTTCAATTTGGACGTTCAGTGCAATCAACTTTGGTATACATCATATACAGATTCTTCAAAAGTGTAGTCCATGTGATAAAAGACTACTCTGAAATTTGTCTGGGAAGTTAATTACAAAAAAAATATAATGCATTGCAGACGGTCATGGGCTAGATTGGTCGGCAGTTGTTATTGTTTCAATTAAGAACAAAAATTATTAGGGAGAACGGTGCCCTATGGCAAATCGGTTAATAAATTAATAGCCGGCAGACACCGAATCACTCGTAAAAAAAAAAAAACTCAATTGTAGATTTATTTTGCTATTGGCTCCTTTTACGGGCAAAATGGAAAACTTTTAACACTACATGTTTCGTTTAGGAGTAGAATGGAAAAATTTTAACGGTGATACTTTTTGTATTACCCAATTAATTATTAAGGCTTTAATGGGATAGAACGCAACAAAGGTTGCAGAAGTAGCCTTGTGTATGAGCCATTGCTCTGCGTAACCCTCTACCGCTCAGCATGATCGGAAATAGCTGGTACCTGCCGCCATCCCTTCCAGCACCTACCTACTATCATAGTGTGCGTGCGACTATGGAGACGACATTCGACCAAGTGCACTCTTCGTAGGTCTCCAATGCGACATTCACCGACCCGTTACCATTGTCTGAAGGCAAGTTTATCTACCAACTCGCACCGCAGTCAAAAACTATCGTCCGAACCATTCATTGGCCGTATATCGGGACCGACATCAGTTACGATCACCTATAAGAGGTTCCCCCGACAGTCGGGTATACGTAACCGGAACTACCCAGACTTATCATCTGGCCAATGACGTGCCACCGGCTCCGTCGCTCTAGAGTTTCTTTAATAAAGCGTAGTGTTTCATTTCATCTCCGATTGAACCTGGATTGGTTGAGTATTACCCCACCATATAGTTCAAAGGAAGAGGTTAGTATAACTTTGATCCCACACTCATTTGGTTTAGATGCGTTCATTGGATCATAAGAAATTAACAGAATTCCAAAAATGTTGTAAAAAGAATTGAAGTCAGTTGTGTTTTTTGCGTAAAAAATGCTTGTTAATACAAACGATTGTCTCGCTTTTTTGAACTTTGCGTTGCACAAAAAAGTAGCGGTAAGACAAAATTTTGCATTTCAACATAAAGTCCACAAACTTGCCGGAAACGTCGGAATCTTGTTTTATTGAAAATGAATCCTTTTTTGTAATATTTTGTTTTCTCCATTACATGTCAGCAATGACAGTAGTGTCCCATATGGTACCGAAAGCAGTAATAACGGTTTTTAAATAATACATCAGAGATTGCTGCTCATTTGATATACGATCAACCATTGATCAAAGAGCGCAGAGATGACACAATTTAGAGTAAAAGTGACGTGACCAGGACTATTTGACCGTCTGCATAACATCGGACTTTAACAATTCTAGTGTTTAGGTCAACAGCCTTATTATTATTCCTAAAGCATTGCAGATTAAAATGCCCAGCTAGCGCAGCCTTACTTGTAACTAGCATTCAGTCGTGTTCAGTGGTTCACAAATGAAAATGACTGATGCCTTGTATTTTTACATTTTGGAATGCAGGCAAACCCATAAAACAATGCAGACTGCGTTTAAGACAAAAAAAATAAAAAATTTTAAAAGCGCATATACGTGCACGACTTACCAAATTATCACTAATCAATGCAACCATTCATTAAAAAATAAACACTTAAACAACTTCCACAACCAGTGCTAATGTTCCTTTCATTATTTTAATGCCCAACGACATGCAAAAGCCTTTCCTAAAAAGGATAAAAAATGCGCGCCTTTAACACTTTCATATACACACTAAAAACTTAAATTGTTAAGCGTACTACAAACTACCAATTGGATATTGCATTTTCCAACCTACAAATTTCACAATTTAACACATCGAATTTAATTGCATAATTTCTCTTAACTGCTTTAACTGTCCAAGACAGCTCGTTCAACGCGCAACACGTTCTAACGAATCTGGCGAGTTTTTGGATGGAATGGGGCTGGGCGGAGTTTGGGAATGTGTGGAACGTGTTTTTTTTGCATACAATAAATTTCGATATTTTGTAATTTAAGGGGACACCACATCGAGAGTTGCACATCGAGTGTAAACTAACCATTATAATTACACATTTTAGATTATTTAGCATATTTCCAAATACATATTTTTTATATGTATGTATGTGTGTATATATGTTTGTTTATAATTGCATTTCGTTTGTTCGTTCATTAAATCAATCATTAGTGTTTTGCTTTTGTAAATCATTCATTTTCGGGAACGTTTAACATATACGCTACGCGCGGCATTTCAGCAACGCAACATTCACATCCAGTTGGCATTTCAATGCTGCTATGTGGCAATTTTGTTTTTTGCTTGCTTTGTTTTCGGCTGCGTTGCATTTAAAATGCTGTTGAGCGTCGTTTAAAACGTCTCGTGTTCGCATCGATGCCGGTGACTTGAGCCGCAGCTCTCACCGTTGTGACATCTCCTGCGGCTGCTGTGCTGGTTGCACGCAATTTGGTGCATGTGCGCGTTGGTGCAGCAGCGCCTCTTACATTTGCTGCAGTTGAAGTGCTTGTTGTTGTTGTTGCGTTTGCAGTTGCAGTTGCAGTTGCTGCTGACACCAATGTGGATTGCTTGCAATTAGCCCAGCGGTGCATTTGATGCGAACATTTTGGATATAATCATTTGCGTGACGACGTTGCGCCACCGACGCTGGACAAAGATTCACCACGACTCTTTGAGCGCGTCATAGACGATTCTGCGGCGTAATGAAACATAGATAAGACAATTGTTTTTATAATGTTTTTATTTGTTTTTTTTTTATTTTTATTATTCAGTAAAATAATTATCATGCCTTCTTACCTTTGCTATTAATTTTCTCAGCTTTATAGGCCCGCATTGCTTTGCCGCGCTTATCCAATATCAACTTGTCGTAGCGCACAAATATACCATGTTTGGGTTTGCATTGGAAATACTGTATGCCTTGTACGGTGCCGTCGTTCTTGCCTGTCGGGGTGTCCAGTTCGACGCCAATCCAAGTGCCCGCTTGGAAGTGTGTGGTACCAATGTAGCTAATTACGCCACTTGTGTTGTAGGGCCGTATTAGCACTGACTCACCAACCAGCACCCAATCGGGTAGTGAAGCTTCGATTTCTGTGAAATTCGAATTTAGTTAGATGTTAACTTTTTAATAAATAACAAAATATATTTTAATAGAAAATTATATATAAAAATAGGATATGAGTGAACTTGGCATTCGCAATGCTTCATTTTTATACTTTTCTAATTAGGCGTTTCTTTATCAAATACAATATTCGTTAGCGGTATTTATTTTGAATTATTTATCGATATTTGTAGCTAAATATTTATCTATTTGCTTATATATTTTATGCTATTAAACTATTTTTAGAAAACTTACCGATAAATTTATCGATATATAAAGTTATCAATATATTTATTTAATTATCGATATTTATCAATTTATTAATACATACATATCGCTGTTTAAAGTACAAGACCGTGTATCGTCATTCTGCAAAACCGCGTAACTGACTTTTGCTGCCAAAAATTGGATTTGCTCACACAAACTCTTGGCGCAACCCTTATCCATTCGTCCTGAAATATACTAGCTAGAAATGCGATTACTTTATAGAATAAGAGAACCATTTTGAAATACGAGTGTTTTTACTCTTCAGAAAATAATTTATGCAACCTCACATACGCGGTTTTGCATTTTGTTGATACGCGGTTTTGTACTTTAAACGACGATATGTAGGCACTTATCGATATATTTTACTCATCGTAAGTTTTATACATAAAATGAAAGAGCCTAATCAACGCATCGATACATTTATCAACATTTTTATCGATCTTTGTAATAGATTACTCATTATTGAGAGGGTTTAAATATATCTAGGTATGTTATCGATGTACATATTTTTCGTAATCATTACATCCAGAGATCGCATCGAATGTCCACTTTAGAGCAAAAACCGGACATTTTTTTTGTATATATAAACAAATGAACAGATATTATTAACCGGATATCCGGATTTTTACTGTATACACGAATATCCGTACTGAGTATCCATTTTATAATATATGTAAAGCAAAAATTTCTAGTAAAATTATCGATATTTTTAATGAATTTCCTATCGATTTTTTGGTACGGCCCTTCTCTGATTTCTGCAAATCTTCTCAAACCGATTTCGAGCCGAAAACGTGTGATGGGATCTTAATTTTTCTGCTATTACCACATTTCATTCCACTTACACTTGAATTCGGAAAATTTACTCGATTTGTGAGAAACACGAACATACATTTCTGAAGAATTTTGGTGGGCAGAATCCGAATCTGACCGTATTGGTTTCAAAATCAAAAAGTATCTATTATTTAGAGTCGCTGAATATACATATGTAGATATGTTTCACCATAGCGATTGGATTCGATGTCATTAACCGACTTCCAAAAAAGGAGGAGGTTATCAGTTCGTCGGAATATTTTTTTTTTTTTTTTTTGTATGTTACCGCATAACTTTGGACCACGTCAACCGATTCTTTTTGCATCGGAAAGGTAGTGTCTCAGAGGTGATCCCATACTAATCTGGTTAAGATCCGATCAGTGGATCATGAGATATATATACACATATTTTTTTTTTATATGAGAGTTGAAGTCGGTTTTTTTTTTTGCTAAAAATTACTTGTTATCCATTTCGTTTCCTAATCGTAGTTGTTCTTTGTTCTACATTATGATATCATAAATATCATAACTGATGATAAAACGAGTACGCTCGCACGAATTAATATCGCGTCTTGTTCTTAATTAACATAGTGAAATTTTATCCCGCCAAAACCAAAACTCTTTCACATACCTGCATCCAGTTCCATGCTGCCTGTCATTGACACATCCAGCCGATCGTTGGATGCCGTCATTATGCCCTCCATTTGTGCCACCGAAGCGCGCTGTAATTGTGAACGCGACATACCGCCATTGTTGTTCGTGCTTGTAACACTACTGGACATAACATTGACGCCACCTTGTGGCGGTGTCTTTTTACGACGTACAACTTTCCCAACCGGAAGCTGACCGCGTACAATGCCATTACCCTCTAACGGCTGTTGTTCAGCCTCCGCCAACAACGCTGGTGCAGTGTTCAGCATTTCATTGCCATTTTGATTGTCTGTAGCAATGTTGTTACTAATTATTTTTGCTGTTGTATTTTTGTTGTTCTCACTATTATTGTGATTACTATTCAACATAGCTGCTGTAGTTGTTGCTTCGCAGTTATTGTTGTTTTTAATTTCAACAACATCATCATCGTTTATGGTATTTGCCATGTAATCGCTGACATCTGCGACGCTGGTGTTTGCGTCGGCATTGGCAACGACATTGGCAGCGGTATATTGTGCTTTTGGTAAAGTGTTTGGCAGCTTTGCTTTTGTGTTGTTGGCGTCATTGTCATTGAATGTTGCAATGATTTCGGTAGCTGGCTCTGTGTCTGCTATGGTTTCTGGTGCTGATTTTGATTGCTTGTGTGGCGTTTCGTTTTGATTTTCATTAAACGCCGAATGTGCTGTCGTTGATTGAGCTTGCTGTTGTTTAGCGCCATTTGATTTTGGCATGTCTTTTAGGAAAGGATTGAATCGCGCCTGGCGGTTAGGTGGTGAATTTGAATTAAAGTCTAAAAATTAAAAGTATAAAAGGTAAGGATAAAAATTAAATTTAAACAAAATGTAATGTAATAAGTAACTGATTTAATGCTACAGTTAGAAGACTGCACGTTTAAGTATTGAAAAGTTCACCGATTTAATCTAAAGTTACCCTCAAGATGTCATTCAGCACCAGTAGTGCCGATACAACATTTCTTCTCTCGCCCCAAGAATTTTATTGGTTCTACGATCCCTTAGTTAAACCTATTATGTTTTACAGAGCTCCTTTGTCTGGTGGAATTCACTAAACACAGCTGCACTAGCTTAACAGCTAGACCACGGGCTGCCGTAAAGGGCATTATGCTGAACATAGTGCTTGCCGACAGTGCAGGCGGAATTCTCGCAGCACGAACTGCTATCAGATTAAGGGAAACCGGGCGGTTAACAAGCGCAAAGACTGGGCACTACGAAGTTCTGGAAAGTTTCGATTTAATCCCTGATTACACAGAGTACTGCGTTTGGGTGTGGCGGGATGACTAAATGAAGGAAGTAGCGAATTTTTTAACGGATAGGTCGAAAGGGTATTTGTGCTAAGACCACTCTATCAACATTAAACTTAGGCTTCTTGGCCTAGTATGGTTTGCGGGTGGTCGTTGGAGCTTCTTTCGTTTACGAAGCCGCAGCTCTCACTGTTGGTGGGGGTGTTGTGACAAATTATTGTCCGATTGACATTCACGCAGTAATTTGGGCAATTTGTATGCTGTTACAACAACACAACACGAAATGGGTCGATCTTTTGATTGTTGCATCCACTTCATGTCGTCTGTCTAAAGCGCCCACAAAATCAGCGAATACCCCTGTTATATATTCCTTTGCTTCTGATCCCACTTCTCTCTTAATAACAAGGTCAGAATCTTTCGACTTTTGCACGCTGATTTGTATGAAGTGGTCTTTCTTAATGTAATTTCAAAAACAAACTAATATAAATAGTTCCGAATTTGCAAACCATTCCATTTCGAAATGATTCAGTGCTCTGGAAACGCTTAAGATTTTTGAAATAGAGCTTTTAACTGCAGTTAATATTGAGGTGGAAATATGCTATTATTCGATAACACTGGCACAAAAGAGTTTGTTTATTCTCATGATGAGGCGCCTTATCTTTATGTATTTTGTCGCGCGAAATAGTGAAAATTTACTCGCAAATTTAAGGGTGTTAAGCCAAAACCGACTACGGATTTGGTCTCATCAAAAGTACAGACACTTCTTTTTTTTTGGGGTGCCGGTGTGATTCGGTCAATTAATTTTCAACTTACCTGGTGTCTCATCAATACTCATTGAACGCATAGAAGCGATGTCATCGTTTGTTAAATTGCTGCACGATACCGCCTGCAAAAAAATAAATGAGATTGAAATCTTTTTGCTAATAAATACTCCTAACTAAGAAAGTTCGTGATCAACATTAAAAAAGGCACTGAATGACAATTTGGAAATTTTATAGGCGAAAAAATTAATAAGAAACGCTTTCAGTGCTGTTGTAAGAACAAAATGTCACACTTTGAATTTCAGTATGGTGGTGCATTCGAGAGCAAAGAAATGGGGCATTAAATAGCACTTCCAAAAGTGTCCTTTCGTGCCTTTTTCAGTGATGCAGAAAAGTTGTTCCTACAAATTACCTGCGATCCATAACCGCTCGATGTTGACGAACTCATGCTGGGCGTTGCCAGGCCGGTTAAATGCTTCATATTCGCATTGGCGCTGGACGTGTAACTCAAGTAGCTGCTATTTGAATGATTGCTGACATCCATGAACGAGTCCATTGTTTTTGAGGCTGTGAGCCGTGAGCGTGTATGATAGTTATTCTGTTGGTTCTTTTCCTGCTCATACTCGGCGGTATACTCCGAATCGCTGTAGCTGTCTTCGGGCTCTTCGGCGAGCGCGCGATGAACACCCAGTGGCTCTTCGTGAAGCGTGGTCATGCGCATGCCCAGTAGCTTGCTAGTAGCCGGTGAAGCTGTATTATAAATAAATAAATGCCAATTAGCAAGTAAGTGATAGATTCTTAAAACGAAAATGTGTTAAAATTTAATAGTTTTAGTTAGAAAAATAAACATTTATTTATGTTTTAACATAAGACATATTCGGCTTTTATCTTTGTTTTTGCATAAAGACATTGGTTAACACCTACGCTTGGTTGGCGGATTGCGTTGATTGAAATTCAAATTCAGATTTAAGAATGTTGGACGCGCTGCATTCCCAAAAAGGTGGCAAGAAATATTTACATAAACAATTTGTATATTATTAATGAGCAAAGCATTCAGGGCGATACATACATACATTTATGGAGTAATTATATATGCATTTTGATTGTAGAGTGTGGTAGGAACACAAAAAACTAAACTAAAATCATTTTTTGTTGCGCTGCACTGCGTCAGTCAGCAACAACAACAACAACAACAACAACAATAACAAACTAAAGGCACACAACAACAATTCAATGTGAATAGTGCGTGTTGAAAACGATTTTATTATTTTTATGTGAAGATACATAGTGTTAAGTATTATTTAACTAGAAATTATAACGGTAGAATGTGGCTATGCAGATACTATATAAAAGCTACAAATGCTGCAAACATGTGACTACAAGTAAAAAAAAAAAAACAATGCGCATACTCAAACGCCTATGCTATTGCAACTATTTATGTATTAGCGTGGGCCGAAAATCCGCTTTTTTAGAATTTTGATTCGTAATAGCATAAATTTGGTTCACTATGCTCTAAAAATAAAAATTAATTAATAATTTTTTTTACTAAAATTGCAAGTATCTTCGAAAGTATTAGTCCTGCATAATTTGGTATATGGACCTTTTTTTGTGTAGAGAATCGAAGTAAGCTAAGAAACTTTTTAGCACTTGAACTTTGATGGACCTTGGCGAGCCTAAGATATTGACCAAAAATTGTCATCTTTCACACAGATTGTTTTAGAGCATAATTAACCATATTTTTGCTATTACGCATCAAAATTCTAAAAAAGCGGATTTTCGACTCACGCTATTATTTATGTATAACTAATTTCAATGGAAACATATAAAAATAGTTGGCTAAAATTGAATTACAACAAAATTGCTCTAGATGAGTATGAAACGCTAACAACGATTAAATGTTGAGTTGGATAAAGGAAATGTATGTAAATAAAATTTAATGATTAACACATTGAGTGCCAAGCGAATTTGATGAAAGTCTTCCCCGGAGCCCAAGCAGGTTTTCATCAAACACAATTTGTATAGTTAGAGTTTGTACCATAAAACCGACAAAAATCACGACGCGCTATAAAAATTGCTCGCGCTGGCCCTGTAGGCAGCAACTTTTTCACTGCAGCTTCTTGACACTCCTCTTCTTACCAGTTGTTCTTTTGGACTCGCTGAAATCCAACTACTTCTTCGGCGGCGGTACTTAATGAACGGGAAATATGGTGCCAGTGCTCGCATATGTCGGTTTTTTTTAAGAGTGCTCTCTGAGAGCAAGTGGGAGTCAAGGGAGTCAAGTAGTGAATGCATTAGCTGCTGTGACTGCAGCTTTTCGACGCTAAACTTTCCTTGCATTGTTGGGCGCACATTTTATGTACGTCTAAAACACAGGAAGCATGCATTCCACAACATGATCGATTTGGTTTCTCGTTTTTCGATCTGGAGACAGCCACATACTACCATGTTTCGGGACCCGGCGTAGTCGATCAGCCTCAGTCCGTTGTCGGACGTTTTGCCGTGGGGCCTGAACTTTCCGACGGTGGTTCCAAAGGTCCCTTCCTTGCCCACCCTGGAATTGATGTCGCCAAGCACGATTTTAATATCATGGCGTGGGTGGCGCTCGTATGAGCGGTCCAAGCGCTCAGATTTTATCCTTACGAGGACATCAACCAGCCGGACAGAGGCACCTTCCCCATTAAGGGTGCGCACATTCCAGGTGCATGCCCTCAAATCGTAGTCCATTAAACGTTTGCCGTGGTCGTCATCAAAAGGGGGGTCTCAGTCGAGGCTTTGTTCTCCTTTTTCATTGGAGCCTGTTTTTACATGGCGGGTCCCAAACCCAGCGCACGACCCACTGCTGGCACGGGGGGGGCGGGGTTTCGCAACCGAATACACGCTTATATATCGAGCCGCTTGCTCCAAGACAGACACCCCCTTGCAGTAGCACCTACTGGTGAACAGACGCTGCAGACTTCAGTGAGCCCTTAAACCCAATAAGTCAGAGTGGGCCGAAAAAAGCTCCATATCTTTCTGCTGTGACCCAAGGCTCCACTCGGATTGCTTACCGCATCTCGCACATGGGTTGCTCACGTTGCCCAGAGTGCGCGAACGAGGACGCAAGAGTCGGGATTGAGTATAGCCGTGCAACTGTAACTGCATACCTAGCACAACGACTATACCCCATTGCATTACATTTTAACAACAAAGAAATTGGGGATTAGGCCGCTTCTGCTCTCACGGCTTCATAAGTATATGGTTGCCTCTAAATGCAAGTTTTCTGTTCATTCCATTACCACCCAACTTCAAGAACTTTCGACTCATGAACGTCGTAATCGGAGCCACCACCCATCGCAAAAAAGCTTCTGCTGCCGCGAGACTCACGTAGCTCTGGCCTAATTAAGGTCTGGATACTGCGGAAGACTGTACCAGACTCGACCGAACTGAAGCACGAGCTCCAGTACTAGAACCACTGGATACTGGTACCACCTACACAAACTCCGCCCGTCCTATGAATGCCAGGGATTTCCACCCGTTGTTATAGTTTTCAAGACTTTTAATTTCTGAATGGGCTAAAATCAGTGTAAGTATGTAAGTGCAGAGGGGAGCTAGAGTCTGCAAGTCTCTTGGGTTATCCTTTCGCAGGCTATTTATTTGGTCATAATCGTCAATCGTCGGATTTGGAATAATATAATTTTAGGCGAGGTGTCGAAGGGATTCAACGACAATGGACAATGGACAAACACCTTTGATATGAAGTGCTCCATCTCAGAATTCAGTTCGAAAACGCCCTATCTTACTTCAAAATGTATTGAAAATGGGTTGATATAGGGCGTTTTTAAATCGGCAGCTGAGATAGGGCATTTTTGAAACGAATTCTGAAATAGGGCGTTCTTGAAAAGTTTTTTGAGATAGGGCGTGTTCGAACTGGCTGCCGAGATAGGTCGATCTTCCACTCAGCAGTCGTGTAGAAAAATCGTTTTAACTAAAAACTATGAAGCTCCACGCTCCTCTGTTCAGGGAAAACTTATAGATTACAGTAAAGCCGCTACTCGCACAACGACGAAAAAATCCGTTTTGGTTGTTGGTTCTATAAAATCCAGTTCGTTTAGATTGTCAATTCATCATGGCATGATTAAATAATACAAGGTTGTGTAATTTGTGACAGCTAAAATTTGACACTCCTTTACCCATGATAAAAACATAGCAAGGTAGAACCGTTCCCTCAATTTGTCGGCCATGATTTTTTTTTTGAAGTTTGCCAACATTTTAAAATCATATAAAAGTGAAAATAAAAAATTGAAATTGTTCGAAATTGTTTTTGCTTGAGATTGAAAATGAAAATGTGTGTGTGAGTAAATTTAAAAATTAAATTGTTTGGAAACGTCAAGAATTTTAAAAGTGACTCTCAGCGGTTCTACCTTACTATATTTTTATCATGCCTTTACCTATATTTGTATTTTGGAAGTAGGAGAAAGGAAAAGAATGTGATCGCCTTTTTCGAAAACGGTAGTAGAAAGGTACTACAAAAAGTACGCAAAGTATACAATTAGAAGTAAAGGTGTATTATTAATTCTATGCGAATTTGCAATATATTTGGTGTTATAATGGAAATACTAAACAATACATAAAAATATGCATTTTTGATTTCAGTTATTCGTCATTTGCTGGAAGAAATCTAGAATACCGACCGTTCAGCTATGCAAAAACGAAAAATGCAGATCAATAGAACTTTTTATGCTCATTTCAACCATGCCAAAATCATTTGGCGCAAGTGAAAAATGAAGACGTTCTAGAAGGTTAAATTTCAGTTTTTAGATTTTTTAAATATTAATATCTTATGAACTATATAACCGATTAAAAAATTAATGACGTCACCACCAAGATAATTGATTTGTCTTTCAGCTGATGCACATAATTTATAGCTTTTTGTATTTTTAACCCAAAACCACTAAAAAACGAACAAATGCTATTTTTCATGAAATAACCTTTTTTGAAAAAAACTGCACAATTAATGGTAAAGTAATTAATATTATTTAGAAAATACAAGTTATTACCTTTAATTCGATATTACATATTTTGTCATTATCTACTTTTGGGTTTCAACAATTTAGTGATAATAAAAAATACAAATAAATAAAGCAAATAAATCTCTTATATCTTCTTTATTTATTACCTGCGCCGAATATCCTTTGGTATCGTTCAAATCAGCGTAAAAAGTTCAATCAATCGGTATTTTTGGTTATTTTATAGCTAAACGGTCGCTTTCTACACTTGCTCTAGAAAATTACGCAAACGAAGGCGAACTACTAATATCATTAGAAACTGTAGAGTACGCACCATTCTGCACAAGTAAAGGAGCCGATTTTATGTGTGGAAGCGAGAAGACTGTTTTATTTCATTTCATTTCATTTCATTTCATTTATTGAGTCTATGATTATATAAACCTTACAGACGAGATTCACAAGTTTAACTTAACTAAAAATGTATAACTAAGAATATAGGGATTCAATCATTGAGCCAAAACGAGATCTCGGGAGTGCAAAATCTAGATCAAGGCTACTAAATATTCGATTGAATTCAATGAGAGCTCTAGCAATGGGATCAAAATAATGGTAATTGGCTTTGATTAGCTTGACATGAAACGGATAGTGAAAGCGTAGTGTTCGTTGCGGAACATTGAAGCTTATCAGCTCAAGTAGCTCCGGGCAATCAATAAGACCAGAAATGATATCGTAAACAAACATCAGCGAATGAATGGATCTTCTCGATTCAAGTGACTTCATCCCTATTAGCATACAACGGGCACAATAGGGTGGCAAAGGAGCAGTGAAATTAAGTGGTTTGAGAGCAAAACGAATAAAGCTCCGCTGCACTCTTTCAATTCTATAGGAATGAGATGAGTAGATCGGATTCCAGATTAAGGAAGCATATTCCAATTTTGATCGTACTAAAGAATTAAATAAAATTTTCCGGGTATACGGATCTTTAAAGTCCCTTCCATA